TCTATATTTTATTAGATGCCAGCTATAATTTTATGGTTTCTCTCATGCTTACCAAGGTTGCATTTATTTGATCAAAAATACAGCAAAAAGTAAAATTGTGAAATATTATTACAGTTTAAAATAACTGTTTTATATTTGAATATATTTTAAAATGTAATTTATTCCTGTGATGCAAAGCTGAGTTTTCAGCATCATTTCTCCAGTGTCACACGATCCTTCAGAAATCATTCTAATATGCTGGTATAAATTAGAGCATCTAATCTAATATGATTAGATGCTCAAGAATAATTTCTTATTATTATCAATGTTGAAAACAGTTGTGCTGCTTCATATTTTTGTGGGAACTAAGATAAATTTTTTTTTTCAAGATTCTTCGATAAACAGAAAATTCAAAAGAACAGATTTTTTGTAACATTCTATTTGTCTTTCCTGTCACTTTTGATCGATTTAATTAATCTTTGCTGAATGAAAGTATTAATTTATTTAAAGAAAATCTTTATGCCCCCAACTTTTGAATGGTAGTGTATAAACATGAGGTAAATTCATGATAAATTAAACTATTTAAAAATATATATTATTATTTGTTTTCCCACCATGTTGTAGAAAGAGTCCATATCATGCTATTTGTTGGAAGTTAGAATTTCAAATAATTGTTACATACAGTTTTTCTGTATAACATTGGACACTGCTCTCAACCTGTGGTTTGGGTGAGGGTATGTATGTGATTTTATTATTATAAATCCTTTTGCCTTTTTTTTTTTTTTTTGGTGTTGTGAAAATTTAATAAATAAATCATACAAAAAAAAAAAAAGAATTTCAAATAAATTTCAATTTAGAATTGAAATTAAATTCTTATTCAATTTAGAAGAATTTCAAAGCCCTAAGACTGGCAAGAGCGGCTTCCAAATCTTCTATACTTATTTTGCTAGATCTGCCAGTTTTTGAAATGGAGAGAAATTTATGAGATAACAGAGATCAATTATATTGTGCACAAAATGTGAGAGACCGCTAAATATTACATTTTGAAATAATTAAAATAATTTAAGAATGATAATTAAAATAGCTATTTGCTACAATTAATGAAATATCAATTCAACATAAAAATTATGATACAGAAATTATGGATACAGAAGAGAAAGTCAAGACCTCTAACAGGCCAAAAAAATAAATAATTAAATATTTGATGTTTTTTAAAGAACTAGCTACTTCTATGAGAACTTTTTAATAAATCGCACGACAAAACATAATATTTATGCCTACAATGATTAAAATAAAAATCACCAAGTGCACCCTATTTGTGGAAAGTGCCAAATAAAGCAGTTTGGAGAATATATAAACAGCATTTGAGCCAAATGACTTCCATCGTCAAGGCCAATGAAGCAAGCAATTCCCCTCCCAGAGCGAAACCCATCAAGCATTTAATTGTAGCTACGCAGAGCTGAAAACCACAAAATAGAGTCGGCTGGCCGTGAAGACAGACCGAGGAGAGCCATCCCTCAAACTCCATTAACAATTACAAAAAAGAAGAGTCTGGTGCACTTCACTGGGCTAGTAAAGACAGAGATAAAGAATAGACTGTCCCAGATGCTCTCTCACACATCACACCAAATCTAATATTTAACACTGACCTATTTTCAAGGTTGCAGGGTATTTTGAACCTGCAGTGGGAGTTTAAAGCAGCCTGGAGCAAACGCGATTGTAGGTTTTTTTCAAAGCCTGGCATGGAAGGTGAGCTAAAGTCATCGGGGAATCAGAAACATGCAGAGGTTTCGGGAGACTCTTTGCTCATCAGGGAACTTCTAATGCTGTTATACAAACATTTGTATATAGAGATGGAAAAATCCCTGTACAATATGCTCATGTTGGCATTTGGGTAAGTAGGGCATTATCACCAACACACACAAAAGACTTCAGATGCTTCAGACGGGGATGGGGGAGTCAGTTCCACATGTCGCCATGGAAACTTGGAGAGAAACGTGGTTACATCACCAAAGCAACCTTTTCAGCGCCATAGTCCTCACAGTGTCATAGTGAACTCTTGCTCCAATGCTGGTTTTCAGTAATGAGCTGCTGCTCACATCTGCTCTCATCGCTTACAGTTAAACATTTAGGTTTGAGTCACTGGCTTCCCAGACACTAAAAGTACTGTAGCAGTGGTTTCAGATGGCATAATATTTAATGATTACCACATGCATGTATCATGGTATTACATGCGTGAGAAGTACACTGTAAAAAAGGATTTTTCAAGGTTGTAAATAAAACAAGATTATTGAAATAGGTTTTACAAGAAAATTAGGGACGCTTGTTTACTCCATGGGATAAAAAAAAAATGTAAAAGGTAATTGCGACTTTTTATCTTACAATTCAGACTTTTTTCTTTGTAAATCTGAGTTTATATCTCGCAATTTAGACTTTTTCCTCGCAATTCTGTTTATAACTCACAATTCAGACATTTGTCTCATGATTTTTAGTTTATATATCATAATTCAGCCCTTTTTTGCAGTTTTAAGTTTATATCTCACAATTTCAGACTTTTCCCCCCAAAATTTAATAATAAATAAAAGTTTATTATTATAATTTCAAAAGTTTATTTTAAAAATATTTTCTCACAATTCTTAGTTTATAGCTCAGTTTTAAAGAGGTCCTATTATGCTCTTTTACAAAGTCTTGATTTTGTTTTGGGGGTGTACTAGAACATGCTCTCATGCTTGGTGGTTCGAAAAACGCATTATTTTTCACATAATTTACATTATTAAAATACCTTTCTCCCCTAAAATTAAAAAAGTGAAAAAGCATAATAGGACCCCTTTAAGTTTATATCTCATAATTCAGCCTCTTTTTTTGCAGCTTTAAGTTTATATCTCACAGTTCAGACTTTTCTCACAATTCTGAGTTTCTCTCACAATTTCAGACTTTTCCCCCCAAAATTCAGAGTTTATATCTCATAATTCAGACTTCTTTTTTTTGTTGTTGCAATTTTAAGTTTATATCTCACAATTCAGACTTTTTTCTCACGATTCTTAGTTTATATTTCATAATTGCAGTTTTAAGTTTATATCTCATAATTCAGCCTTTTTTTTTGCAGTTTTAAGTTTATATCTCACAATTCAGACTTTTTTCTCACAATTCTTAGTTTATATCTCATAATTGCAGTTTTAAGTTTCTATCTCATAATTCAGCCTTTTTTTGCAGTTTTAAGTTTATATCTCACAATTCAGACTTTTTTCTCACGATTCTTAGTTTATATTTCATAATTGCAGTTTTAAGTTTATATCTCATAATTCAGCCTTTTTTGCAGTTTCAAATTTATATCTAACAATTCAGACTTTTTTCTCACGATTCTTAGTTTATATCTCATAATTGCAGTTTTAAGTTTATATCTCATAATTCAATTCAGTTCAATTCAATTAAAGTTTATTTGTATAGCGCTTTTCACGATACAAATCGTTGCAAAGCAACTTTACAGCAAATTAGGTTTCCCTTTCATGGGAACTTCGAACTGCGTCCTCTAGGGGTCGCTATGGGGAACGCCTCGTCGTGACCCGTGTCTGAAGCATACGCATAATTCAGACTTTTTTTTTGCAATTTTAAGTTTATATCTCACAATTCAGACTTTTTTCAGAAAAGGGGTAGAATTGTGAGGTGTAAACTCAGAATTCACAGAAAAAAGAATTTCATGTTTAATAAATTGTTACTTGTTTACTTTCTTTGTAAATATTTGTGAAATATGCACTTTCCGACTTCAAATAGTTTCAAAGTAAACATACACCATTGTGCTTGAAAGACTACATGGAATATGCACAAAAAATGGGATTGAAGTTTATTTTCTACTGCAGCAGTCGATGATGAACAAAACTGTTCTTACCTGATATGATTCCTAAGTCTAAAATAATGAATATATGTTTTGCATGTTTACGTTTTTTAAAGAAAAGAAGGTTCTGCTCCTATTTTGATGGATAAGAAACTTACTTGCTCAAATAACACATTTTTCAGATAATGCATCAACCATCAGATTCATCTGAAAAAAAAATCTGCAAGTCATTTACAATTCTATGTTTCAGCCACAGTTGGGTGATAGAAAGGCTTTCTTTAAGATGATAATTTACGACAAATAACTTTTAATGTAAATAGCTTTAACAAAGATTTATCATCTGCAAATCACTACCTTTCATGAGTTTAGGGTCAGTAAGATTGTTTTTAAACTAATTAATACTTTCATTCAGAAAGATGCATTAAATCGATCAAAAGTAACAATGATGCTACTTACAAAAGATTTCAAATAAATGCTGGTCTTTTGAACTTTCAGGGTCTTTTGAATTCATCATAAACTGTATTCAACATTGAGCAGCAAATCAGTATATTAGAATGATTTCTGAAGGATCATGTGACACTGAAGACAGGAGTAATGATGCTGAAAATTCAGCTTTGATCACAGGAATACATTACATTTTAAAATATATTAACATAGAAAACAGTTATTTTAAATTGTAAAAACATTTCACAATATTACTATTTTTACTGTTTTTTTAACAAATAAATGCAGCATGTTGATTTCTTTCAAAGACATTAAAAAACCTTACTGACCCCAAAATTCTGAACCGTAGTGTACAAATTAAAATTTCAATGCTCTTCTACTCACACAACAGCTGCTCTGCACGCAAACATCCTTATAGTTGAGCTCTGGTTTTGCCATATTGCCGGATACATGCAAAAGGGTATTTTTTGGTGCTTTTTGTTAGTGTTGCGAAATGAAAGCGATAAAACAACTCAACAGCACAATGTGAACCCTGGGAAATCTTGAGAACTACAAACTTGATTCCAGCGGTGTAAATGATTGGACTGTCAAATATCACACCCCAGCATTTGGCTGAAACCTAGAAAAAGCCTCCAGCGCTCTGTGAGAGATTCGCATCAAATAAACACACCAGGGCTGCAGAATGGGACTTGAAGTGAAAAGAGCTCAAAGAAATGTATCACTGTGCATCCCTAGAGTGCCTCACCACGCTGAAGTCTTCGGGTCGACACGGCGAACCTCTGAACTGGCAGGAGAGCAGCATGTCTTTTATGTCGTGTCCTGTTCTATTATAGAACTCCCACATGTTGAAGGGTCGCGGCTTGAAGGAGCGAAAGTCTGCTTTGCTCTTGAGAACCTCCATCACGCTTTCTTCAACCAGGTGAGCGTCCCGTATCTCATGTCTATAGAGACAGACAACAAAAAAACAGAAGAACATGAGAGCACACTCTTAAAAATAAAGATTCTAAATAGGTTTTATTGCAGCAATACCATAGAAGAACCATTTTTGGTTCCGAAAAGAACCTTTCAATGAACAGTTCTTAAAAGAACCATTGTTTCATGGATAAAAAAAAAGTTCAGTGGATATTAAAGGTTCTTCATGGAACCACATGAGGCTTTTATTTTTAGTGTTAACGTTGTCAAATGCATTGGTTTAATATTGTTTTTTTTAAATCAGCTTTTTATTAAAAGCCTCCCTAAGTCTAATGTGGTCTGTAGCTGTCCACCAAACCAGTTTGCACGGGTCAGGATGGTCTGGTTTTATGGATTCAGAGCAGTTTTTTCAGCTGGTCAACATGGGAGACCAGCTAAACCAGTTTAAACCAGCAAAGGCAAGCAAACCACTTTAGGCTGGTTTAAGCTGTTACTTTCAACAAGGTTTGTTTGTTTGTATTTATTTATTGTTAAAGTTGGCAAGAAATGAACATTCATATCTAATTTCTTTTTGAACATTAAAGCATGTCAGCATATTCTGATACACCAAATACACAAAATAATGATCTTTAAAAAAGCATCATATGACCCCTTTAAAACTTCTTAAAGGAAACGTTCACCCAAAGGTGAAAATTTGCTGAAAATGTACTCATCCTCAGGCCATCCATGATGTAGATGAGTTTGTTTCATCATCAGAACAGATTTGGAGAAATTTAGCATTACATAACTTGCTCACCAATGGATCCTCTACAGTGAATGGGTGCCGTCAGAATGAGAGTCCAAACAGCTGAAAAAAAACATCACAGTAATCCACAAGTAATCCACACCACTCCAGTCCATCATCTTGTTAAAAAAACTGCATGTTTGTCATAAAAATGTCTTGATGAATTTACTTCATTTCAGACAATTGTTTCTGGCAAAAATATGAGTCCTCTATCAATAATATTGCTTTCTCCAGTGAAAAAGTCGTCTTGTCCGTCTTGTCTCAGAAATATGTCCAAAACAGTTCACAACAAATAAATATGTGGCTGGATTTTGATGTGAGAGATGTGAGAGAGGATGGACTTTTTCACTGGAAGAAGCGTTATTATGGATTAGTGACCCGTATTTTGGCCAGAAGTGATGATTTAAAGTTAAAACACCTTAATGGTGGATTTGTTTCTTTTTTCACAAGACTTTAACTGATGGACTGGAGCGGTGTGGATTACTTGAGGATTATTGTGATGTTTTTATCAGCTGTTCGGACTCTCATTCTGACGGCACCCATTCACTGCAGAGGATCCATTGGTGAGCAAGTCATGTAATGCAACATTTCCCCAAATCTGTTTCTGATGAAGAAACAAACTCCTCTACATCTTGGATGACCTGAGGGTGAGTAATTTTTCAGCAAATTTTCATTTTTGGGTGAACTACTCCTTTAAGAATTCTCAAGTAAATTGATCTTGAATACTTATTTTTACTTATTTTTATTTTTTTTTTTTACT